AATCAAGAACTCCCCCGTCCCCCCGCCCCCGGTCAATGGTGTCCCGCTTCAAATCTGGTCACCTTATCTTTGGGGGAAGGTTCTTGCCCATCCTCAGCCTCTGTGTTTCTGGTGCCCCTTGCAGCTCGCCATGTGTCTGCATCTGTCTACTCCAGGGGCTAGGATGGCCTCAGCCCAGAATCCTGGGTCCACATGACATGCTCTGCTATCAGCTCTTCTTTCTTGGTGGTACTGAGGTCCTTCTATCTCTATCCTTTTATCTCTTGTGAAATAGAAGGTGATACAGGTCACACTCCAGGGAAACTCCCTTTACATTGGTTCAGGATTGTGGCCTGATTAAGGGTGTTAGTTCTTACATGGGAATGATTACATCATTACATAACTGTCAAATTACATCTTTACATAACTACCAAACCACTGAGAATCGTAATTCAGCTAAGTAGACACGTATTTTTCTGGTGGTGGTGGTGGGGGCACTCAGTTCAATTCATGGCAACTAGTGTAAATCAGAGACACCTGAAAAGTTTCTGATGCAGGAGACCTGGGGTACAGCTGTGTAATTTGCATTTGAAAGTTCCCATAAGGATCACCTGGTGATCTGTAAGGATCACCTGGGGCTCTTGTTAAAAGTGAAAATTCTGATTCAGTGAATCTGGGGAGGAAATGCAATTTCTCAGTGGGGCGTTGAACTGAATGAACCTGTGTGAAGCCCTGATTTACAGGGCTTGGAACATAAAACTAGACAGCCTGTTCTATAGATTGTAGTTAAGTGTTTGGGGGAAAAAATTAGTGAAATTTTGTGCCCTACAGGAGCCATTGTGGTGTAGTGGTTTACACCTTGGGCTGCTAAGCACAAGTTCAGCAGTTCAAAACCACCAGTCACTCCTCATGAGAAAGATGGGGCTTTTGACTTCCGTAAGTCTCAGGAACTCACAGGGGTAGTGCTCCCTTGACCTGTAGGATCACTGTGAGTCAACTGATAGTGAGTTTTAGACTCCATGGGAGTGGGTTTTTGAGTAACCATCACATTGATCTTAGTTTGGCTCTGAAAAACACTGAGTAAGTAATCACTTTCCAGGGTTGAAAGTTTTTCCATTCCTAATCTTCCATGGAAGGATCCCATACACACTTCAGATCCATGGTCCATTACCCACGCCTGCTTGAGCTTTTCAGTAATAGGAGGCTTATTCCTATGCAAGGCATGGTCCTGATATAAGAACTAGGGTCTCATCTGTCTTCTTTCAGAAAGAAACTTAGTTCTCTTAGGAATTATGCCCTTGTTCTGAGAAATACTTGTCAGTGACTAGAAGCTTAGTTAGAGGATTGGTTTAATCTGGGACAACCAGTTCACACACACCAGGCTCTGAGCACCT